TCCGAAGCTATATAGGAATGTATCGAAATAATTAATTGCGGTACATTGCTCCCGCAATTAATTATTTTGAGACATTCCTATATAGTCTCAATTGTATCGTCCTTATATGTTAGCAGATGAGATCATTCAAATATCCTTGGATATAAACTATTGCAAATTAAAAAGTACAGTTTAACGCCAAATGCGAAAAATCGCGTATGTGGGATGCAGGGATTGAACCCGGATCTACAAATCACGAGTCACTCGGCGCCCTGCAAATTGAAAAGTATTAACAAAACTAATCAAACTTCTGTAGTGTCAAATTATTATCAAGTCGGTATCACGTCGATTAAATTATCAGTTTTAATCGGCATGATAAGAGTATGTATTAACAACATTGTCTTGTATATTTTTTTAATGCAATACAATTCTTGGTTTTATTCATATTTAATTCATATTTTCATATAAAAGCGGAAAAAATATGGTTGACGTATTCGATTATTGCAATTAATTTTATACACACAACACATTTATTCATACTTGTTTTCAGATAATAGTGGAAATGTCATGCAGTGGATTCTAAATTGAATTTTTTCTCGTGCAATGAAACTTCAGCTATAGGATATTTTATTATGATTAAAGCAGATAAATATACCGAGCATATGGATCAGCAAATCGAGGTATATTTGAAATCGTTCAATATAATTTTGGAAAAGATCAATTTTTATAAATTTTCCATCATTTTTCTCAATTATATAAAAAATTGGATGTGGTATAGTAAAACGGCTCCGGTGAAAATAAAAATTGGAGCAAAAGTCGAATATAATGGGAGAGTAATAAAAGCATAAAGCTGGTCACACACACTTTCCGTAACATTAACAAGATTTTTGACCAGTCGCTCGATTCGATCATAACCATGACCATAACAATCGAGCAACGCGATTGATCGAAAATCTTACTGTTACAGTTACGGAAAATGTGTGACCAGCTTAAACGAAATTTCTAGATGGCGAAAATTGAAACAACGGAACGTAAAAGAACGGAACCTAAACGCATTTTATTGTTTCAATTTTCGTTCCCTAGAAACTTCGTTTAAGTTTCTATCCTTACATTACATTCGACTTATGCTCCGATTTTTAAGTTTTACCAGTTCGAATTCAGTGACCCAAAATCTATAAGAAACACTTATTCTCTAATTTTGTGCATCTTTTTTAAAAAAAACTTTTTTTATATATTATTAGTGCAGGCCACATGTACAATCCCTTTCCTGCATGGTTTAATAAATAAATAATTATAAGTTAAAAGTTTGAGTATTCATAAATCACTTATTATCGATATTTTATAATGTCTTAAGGTAATATTCTAAAATGTCTTCTCCCAGAAAAATTTTACTCAATATAATATAATATACGTTCGGTGTACCATATATTTCGAATAAAATTTTCTGTAGGAAAGTAGCTTAAAATGCTAAAGGCTCTGTAATTGATTTATTAACATTTTAAGACTATTTAAGACAGTTTTAAATAGAAGAATCGACTATAAATATCCGCCTTAAACCGTTGCATAAATAACACAAATAAGTAAGCATATTTACAATTGTTTATATTCTTTGTACGTGCATCTAGCTACCATATACAAATTATTAAATGTCTGATCTTTGTTGAAGGACGAGTGCCACGAAGAAAGAAAAACGAATGTCAGATACAGTTAAAATTGCTTCAAGTCTACTAAAAACTTGAAAACTTTTTAATCTTCAAAATTCTATTACAAATTCTCAGATCAGATCTTTTTACTGTGATTTTCTGTGCATGTCGATATATTTAATATATTGCCTGTAGAAATGGAGCGTACTGATGATCAGCATCAAGTTCAATATCTGGAGACGCTCGTTAAATCGGAAAACGACAAAAAGGATTATAGCTAACATAAAGGCACATGCTTAGTAAAAAGAATAATTTTCTAAGAGGCCTGAAAAATATTATGACATTTGAGATAAACATCACAATTAGTTAATCCTTGTACAAAGGAAGATTTTTTATATGACCGACATTCTCACTGACTTTATTTCATTATTGTTTGTTTTGTCTTTCAAATTTAGGATTATTAAATTAGGAAATGATTTAACAGTTCTGTTTATATCAAATATATATCAAATATATATTTAAAAACAGATGATTCTCGAGATGAAGACGATGAGAGAGATGAAAAAAAGATATAAATAAGACAATTTAGTTGCATTTTAGGATATAACTTGTGCCAAATTATTTCTTAGAAATTTATTGACATTATAATATTAAAGACAGATAATAAAATTATGAAAGGAATCTGCCTTTACATGAACTAATGTAAGAATGTATTATCAGTTTTATTTAGGATTTGTTTCGAAATATGTGATTTAATTTGAATTATATATAGATTATTCTATTGATTGTGTTGATTTCTCCATTTAATATAATTTAATTTACACAGTGTGTATTATAATGCATGATGTATGTATATATACGTATATTTTTTCAAATAAGCAGCATGTGGCTTATGTGTGAGAGTAGGATGCTTCAGCGATCCAAACATTCAAGGCGTAACAAATTTATTCAAGCATATGGTTTTCATGAGATCCGAAAAATACTCAGAAGTACTAAAATATGATGTACAATTTTTTTATATAAAATTTTATTTATTCGTATTATTGTCTACATTTTTACAGTGACTCTCACTCTAAAGAGTGAAATCTTGTTCTTAGGTTCGATTGTACCAATCTTACTTTGATTTTAAGCGAGGCTTAAAACTCTCTCTATCTCTCCCACTCTCTCAGCTTTAAAGAGAGAAAGTGAGAGTTTTATGCTTCGCTTAAGGTATTATTGATGCAATCGGACCTTGAACATGACCTTGAAAATGAATTACTATTTCGAAATTGATTTAATTTTTATTCTTTAGAGTGAGATTTTACTAAAAAAAATATATTTACTCTCTGAAGAGTTTACTTTTTAGAGAGTAAATGTATATACACAGAAAAAGAATTTTAAAATATTTATCAAAAAACGTGACGGATATGTTGACATCTCAATAGCGAACAAACAATATTTTACTTTGCTATTTAAGAAAAATATGCTGTTTCCTGCTCTTGATCATTTTGCTCAAGGCTTTATTAAATCTTGATGACGAAAGATATCATTACACGGGAGCGAGAGAACATACATGGTATATAAATTATAATATCATATCAATATAACTTTCAGTCTTTATATGTTATATTTATATACAGAGTATGAATTTATATCTTGTGACGAGAATAAAGAGCATTGTCCTCTGCGCAAACCGATTCAATGAATAAATATTCAGGACAGTTTTATGATCTTTAGCAATAATATGAATGATAATAAATTGTGCGAAGAATTGCATAAATTCAGAAATCGCTATTACAATGCTTACAGAATGATGTTAGTTATATAGGTAACTCAATAAATTTATAAATTGCATGAATCATTGACTTATTAAATATATTTTTCGTATAACTAATACATGTTTCTATAGGCTAGATTATTATTGAGTACATTAGAAAAATTCGTTACGAAATGTACTTTGTTGATGTACCAAATAATAGGTTATCTGCCGATGACTATGTTCCTAGTTTCTTTTTATATTCCCAAAATCGAAAAAACATTAACCGAAATAAAGTCTCATGTATCACATGTTTAAGCAAGGTGACGAAGTACGTTAACTTCAAAACTTCAAGAGATTCAAAAGAAATTATATTTATAGTAAATATGTATATAAAGATAATTTTTAATTTATTATGTATTCTCCGGACATTGCTCCTTCTGATTACTGGTTGTTCCGAAGGATGCAGCAAATCACCGGTTCACTTCTTTCGCAGAAATCGAAAATTGGCTCCAAAATTGAATCACCTCCAAAGATGGAATTCGAAAATTGTCTGAGAGAAAGTAATAGGCAGCGATGGACAATACTTTAATTGATTTGTTCTTTTTGTTTTGAAATAAATGCACAAAAAAACGGACCGAACTAATTTGTACTCCCAATAATTAAAATTATCAAATTGCTATTGTTATTTGTTAAAATATATTTTGCTCATTAAAGATTTAAACAATTTTATGAATACATTATAGTAGATAAGGGAATTTGAATAATTTATTAACAATATTTATATTTAGTACATTTCATACTTAGCACAATTACAAAATATATATAATAGATATACGAATTTATAAGCTGCTGAGTCAGATACTGAAATTGGTAAAAAATATTAGTCTAATAATTCTATTTTAAGTTACAATAGATTATCACATTAATTTGTAACAATATATACAGGATATAACAGGGCAATTGTATCAGACTCGTTTTTCAAAAATGTGCATTTTTTTTTAAAATGTTCCAGATAAAAGTTGTAGCATTTTAAGTGACGCATTAGACAGAAATATTAGTTTGGAGAGCGTTGTTGAAATAATGTAAAAATTATTTCAAAATTTAAAAATAGGGATTTTCATTAAAAAATTTTAAAGTATAATTTTTATGAGCTTAATATGGTTGCTCTGTTACATTCTGTATACGTATATTTTATCACATGGCTTTTGTATAATATATAAAAATAATAAAAATAATATCTTTGCTATATTCACATTTCCCTATATTAA